TAACTATGCCATTATCTTTATCAGTAATTATGCCAATCAGTTGGCCATTAACTTTGACAATCAGTTGGTCAATTAGTTGGTTACTAAATTGGCCATTACCTTTGCCACTATTATATACATTATTGATTTACATAATACATGCTACAGTAAATGTAAATAACAAACAAATAATAATACTAAATATATAATATAATAATAATATCTAACTAATAATATAAATGTTGATAATAAAATAACAAATATACAGTATTATTATAATATAAAAATAAAATAAAGATATGGAGAAAATCACATGTAACAGCGCCTACCCCTACCATCCCTAGATGATCGTACAATCATCCTAGTATCACAAATTATCATCCCCTGTGGTAATTCACGTGTTTGCTAATTTGCACTGCCACACTAGTATATAAATAAAATATTTTTTCTTTGCTTTAAAATATCTCACTTAGGAAAATATTAATCCAAATTTGGTTAGACATGATTTGTGGCATTTAAGTTTTAAATTTTAAATACCAAAATTAATAATAATAAAAAATTCCTTTAAATTTTTTGAAAGATTTTTCAGAACTTCTTAATGACAAAAAAGAATACAATTCTGTCATTGAAGTTGATAAAGAGGAAAACAAGAAAGTTTTTACTTCGCACTCGATTGTCTTGCGTTATCGTTCAATCTATTTCACTAAAGAATTGGAAAACACTATTACGAATGAAATCATGTCATAACTATTATCAAACCAAATATTTCTGCCCAAATATTCGAAATTATTCTTAAGTAAGTTAAAGGAATTTATTATTACTTTAATTAACAATATTGTATAAGTATGTATTTAGTATTTCAATACAAGATGATTCAAAATTAATATATTTTATTGTAAATGTAGATATACAATCTATGGCGGAGTTGTTAGCATTAAAAATATAGAAACCAATGATTGTTGCTAATGAATTAGAATTTGAGGAACTATCAAAAAAATGATAAAGTTACCTTGTCGAATCTAAAGCTTCTTGGTTAAAAACTCATTTCTCCCGTGTTTATCATTCAATCTTTAATAGTAATAATTGTAATGAATTTAAGGCTTACAACAGTTTTACAATGATATTATTTCCAAACATCCAAATTTGACTTTTGAATCCGAAGATTTCGCTTCGCTTCAAAAATCAGCATTATTTCTATTTTGGAAAACGATAACCTGCAATTAGAAGAAATTAAAATTTGGGATTATGGTATCAAATGGGAAATTGTGCAAAATCCCACTTAGCCAAGAAATTTGGAAGAATGGTCTAAAGAAAATTTCAAAACTTTAAAAACGACTCTACAACAATTTATTCAATATTTTCATATCTCTGTTGGGAGAAGTTAAAGCCTTATAAAAAAGTTCTTGGTACGCAGCTTTGGGATGATTTAAATCAACGACTCTTATTTCCAAATCAACCAGTTAAATCTCTTGCTTTACCTGCAAGAATTATTTCAAATCCTGAATTACCTCAAAGAATAAATGAACCAATCTCAAATATAATCAACGAAAAACAGATAATAGAAATTTCATCGTGGATTATTCTTTAGAAAATGTACCATATAACCTTCAATTAATTCTTCGGGGAAGTAAAGATGGTTTTCAACCAAAAACATTTTGGAATATGTGTAATGGACATGCTGGCATGATAGTGATTGTTAAGGTTGCAGGACCTGATGAAATACTTGGACCTTATAATCCATTAGCTTGGGATAATTCAAAAACCAAAACCACATGGGTGGAAACAAATGATAGCCCTATATTTTCATTGATAAATGGGAATATTCGAAATTCAATTCTCAGCAGAATTAAAAATGAAAATAAAATTTATGCCCTATATTATTTTGGTTCAGATAATTAAAAGATTTATGGTCCACGGTTTGGCAATTGTGAGATTTTACTAAAGATAAACAATGTTGGAGTATTTATGGTTCTTATTATACTCGTTATGAAAAATTCATTAGAACAACTGATGAAAGATTTTCTATTGTAGACTATGAAGTATTTAAGATTGTTAAAAAATAGTTAAAAAATAATAATTTCAAATTTCATTCTTTTTATTTCATAATGTAACAATATTTTTTTATAATATAAATTGGTATTTCGATAATATATATAATCAAAGAAAAACACACTATTGAACTACATAAATGCAAACAATAATTAGAACGCATTTAAAAAAAAAACAGAATTATTTCATTATCCTAATGAATTTCTATTAACGGAAAAAACTTGATGGCGGCAGAATTTCTCTCCATAATTTTGATCAATGAAGTTCGGATTGTTTGTAAAAACTCCGATTTGCAAGCATTGAAGTTTTTAAATCTTAAATAATGAACATATTAACAATAATAAAAATGTCCTTTAAATTTTTTGATAAATTATCTCAAGATTTTTCGGAACTTCTTAATGATAAAAAAGAATACAATGTGTCATTGAAGTTGATAAAGAAGAAAACATGAAATCTTTTACTTCGCACTCAGTTATCTTGCGTTATCGTTCAACCTACTTCTCTAAAGAGTTGGAAAACACTATTACGAATGAAAATCATGTCAAAACTATTATCAAACCAAATATTACTGCTCAAATATTCGAAATTATTCTTAAGTAAGTTAAAGGAATTTATTTATTACTTTAATTAACAATATTGTATATGTATGTATTTAGTATTTCGATACAAGATGAATCAAATTAATATATTTTATTGTATATATTTAATGCAGATATATCTATGATGGAGTTGTTAACATTGAAAATACAGAAACCAAAATCATTTATGAATTAATGATTGTTGCTAATGAATTGGAATTTGAGGAACTATCAAAAAAATTAGAAAGTTACTTTGTCGAATCTAAAGCTTCTTGGTTAAAAACTCATTTCGCCCGTATTTATCATTCAATCTTTGATAGTAATAAGTGTAATGAATTCAAAGGTTTAAAACAGTTTTACAATGATATTATTTCCAAACATCCAACTTTAATTTTTGAATCCGAAGATTTCACTTCGCTCCAAGAAACGGCATTAATTTCTATTTGGAAAGGGATAACCTGCCAATTAGAAGAAATTAAAATTTGGGATTATGTTATCAAATGGGGAATTGCACAAAATCCCACGTTACCTAGAAATTTAGAAGAATGGACCGAAGAAAATTTCAAGACTTTAAAAACAACTCTACAACAATGTTTACCACTTATTCGATATTTTCATATTTCCGAGAAAGATGTTTGGGAGAAATTAAAGCCTTATAGAAAAATCCTTGGTACGCAGCTTTGGGATGACTTAGATAAACGACTCATATTTCCAAATCGACCAGTTAAATCTCTCATTCTACCAGCACGAATTATTTCAAAGCCTGAATTACCTCAAAGAATAAATGAACGAATTTCAACCATAATCAACGAAGAACATGTTGCAGAAATTTCTTCATGGATTGATCGCAAATCAACTATTTATTCTTTAGAAAATGTACCATATAAACTTCAATTAATTCTTCGAGGAAGTAAAGATGATTTTCGACCGAAAACATTTTGGAATAAGTGTAATGGACATGCTAGTACAGTAGTGATTGCTAAAGTTGCAGGAAATGATGAAATACTTGGGGGTTATAATCCATTGGCTTGGAGTAATACAAAAACTGAAAATGTTTATATGGAAACAAATGATAGCTTTATATTTTCATTGAAAAATGGGAATATTCAAAATTCAATTCTCAGTAGGGTTAAAAACCAAAGTTGTTCTCTACTTTATCCTAGTTTTAGTTCTCAAAATACTTGTGGTCCATGTTTCGGTGGTTGTGAATTTTCATTGGAATCAAATGTTAACGATTTTACTCGAGATAAACAATGTTTGTGTGATGGTGGTGGCATTTATGAAAAACCCATTAGAACAAATAACGAAGAATTATTTTCTATTGTAGATTATGAAGTATTTAAGATTGTTGAAAAATAATGATTTCAAATTTCAAATATACAATGAATATATCATTCTTTTTTACTTTATATATTCAACATAATATAATAAATATATTTTATAATAAAATCTTTTGTATTTTTGATGATACATTGTCTACATCTTATAATAATCAATTGATTGAAATTTCCGCATTACGATCAGAATTTTAATTTGAGATATGAAGAGCCACAAAAAAAAAAAGGAAGTTGGTTTACTTAAAATAAAAATAGATAATAATTGTAATTTTCGTAATAAAATAACGTTTTATTTGATGTTAATATACGAATATCATAGAAATTATAATCAAACGCGAAAATAATTGTATTTATACATATAATGATTTTATTAATATTCTCCAAGATCATTATTCCAAATCATTACCCTGGAAAAAAAACGAACAATTAAATTTAATTTACCACAGAATTGTCATAATTAAAAAAATAAATAAAAATATATAAAAAGAAAGAAATAATGATTAGTATAATTTGATTATGTGACAATAAAAAAAAATTAAATAATAATAAATAAACATTCTTACCTAAAAATATAGTTTATCCAGAATTGGAATTAAATATAGTTCATCGGTTTAAGAAAAATAAAAAAAAAAGATTAATAAAGTTACGGAATTAAATGATACGATTTCTTGCTGCCCCATTCCTAATTTATCTTCAAGCTGTTATCCCAAATCTGCATCTGTGAGGAAAGTGAGAAAAAAAACCGGAAATTTATTATAAAATTAAGTACTTTTCTTTTTTCAATTAATTTCAATTATACAATTGACCGGTAGTCGATACATATAAGTAAAAAAAATATACATTGCGTCATCGCGTAGTAAACTTTTAATAAATAAAAATAATATTTGTTTCTGTTTCATTTGGTTTAATTGGGAAAATCTTAATACTATTTTTTTTTCTTCAAAGAATGTATTTTTGGTATAGACAAATAGATAATTTTTTTTAAGTTAATTAATAATATTAAATTAACAAATGTCAATTCCAATTGCATATTTATAAAGTTGTGTGATAATTTAATATGGTTAATTCATACAATTTATATTGTAAATTAGATATTTTCTATAAAAAAATTTTTTCTTTTGAAGATTGTCTTTAATTTTTCAGATTAATAAAATAATAAATTAAACATTTTGCGTCAAAATTACTTACCCAGTTAGAGCAGAAATTAGTTGTAAAGGAAAAACGAATGAATTTCATATCAATTTAATTTATTTCTTACCAATTCTTGTTGTCCATCTCTTTACGCCATAGATTCCTAAATTCCTAAATTTCAATGCATCTATTATCTACTTAGCATAATAGCATAATAAATAGGTTTATTTTGGTTCTTGAAATCCATTGTAAGGTATTACCTTAAAAATTCCAATCTGCATCATCTTGAATAAATTATTTATCCACTTGTCCATTTGAGTCGCAGGAATTGCACAATAATCATTATATCATATCATTGTTTGAAACATATATCAAATATTTTAGTTCACTCATAGTATGTAAGGTGGAAGTTTCTTTTTTTAAAAAAATTTAATAAATAAAATTTTGATAAAATTGCTTTGATAAATCAAAATATAGATTGCATATGAATTATTTTTTTTTTTGGTAACGAATTATTTTAGATACTTAGATTACAAATTTATTATAATAAATTCCATCATTTATTATATATAGATACTTTCATTACACCGTATGTACATATGGACTATTTTAATTAAGTTAAAGTAAAATTGATTAGCTTGATAAAAGGAAAAATACTATATTGCACGAAAATAAAAATTTATTTTTAGTTTTATCTCGTTTTCAAAAATTCATCAAACGATACGATATTTTTTTATTTGTATTTAATCTTTTTAACAAGTGACATAAGTTTATTTCAGCTAGTGAAATTAGATTTAATTCCAAACTATTACAACTAAAACAATTGTATTTATTGTTCTCGTCATATTTAGTAATGATAATTTATCTTTTATGTTTTATTATCGTAATAATAATCACTATTGTAAATAAAATAAAATAGACAATGTAAATAAAATAAATATTAAACTTATCGATATATAGATGGTAAAAAAAATCGTGCAGCTCGATCAGATAATGTCATAAGCAATAAATATACTTTAGTTTATCACTGACTGGAATTTTTTTTTTTTTACGATTTATTTGTGGCTGTCATTTACTAATAAGGATTCACTTTTAAGAAAACTCGTTCATTCCCACTCTTTTCACTTTCCACTCTCTTACCTCTTTCCTCGGTTTCTATCAGATGTACCATCTTTGAAACCTTTCGAAATATTTTCAGCAGGGTCATTTGATGTTTTGAGGCGGGAAGGTTGTTATTATTTAGATAAGACTCATTTCATTCCTAAAATAGAGGCTCTCCGTGCTCCTGCCATCATTTCTCTACGTTTTCGTCGTTTCGGGAAGGCACTATTCCTCTCTGCTTTGTCCTCTTACTATGACGTAAAGAACAGAGAACGATTTAAGCAATTATTCCAAGATCTTTATATCGGAAAAAATCCTACTCCTTTAGCGTCTAAGTTCCTCGTTCTCAGACTCAATTTTGCTGGGCTTCGCACTAATGGAATGTAGGAAATCTTTGAAGCAAACTTTCACAAAAGTCTGAATACAGATATATCAAAGTTTATGTACAGATATAAACAAGAGTTAGGAAATCATTTCCAAATTGTTGACGTAAAGGAGAATGCTTTGGTGAATTTCAAGAAGTTACTGGACGTGGTGGAATTGAGCGATAACAAGGTATTTTATCCTTCATTTAATCATAATATCTATTCAAAAAGTACTAAGCTAATATTCTTATGCATCTTAGCTCTATGTTTGCATCGATGAATACGATGCTAGCATAAATGAAGCCTTTAAAAAACGAAACATTTCTCCATATTCTCGCCAATCATCACAATAACGAAGGTGACTCCACTAAAAAGAAGACTTGAATTAATTGAAAGTTCGTTCAAACAAGGCGTAGCTCGTATTTTTTAAACTGGTGAGACTCCTGTCATTATGGCCGAATTCACCTCGGGCTTTAACTTTTCTGTAGATTTGGCGCTAAAAAAAGAATTGAAGGACTTGCATGGTTTCAAGAAATCGGAAATTGAGTTTCTCTTTGATAATGCTTTTGGAAATGGTTTATCAAATAATATTAAAGAGGAAATAATGTCATGGTTAAAAGATGAAAATGATGGATAATTTTTCACCGTAATCAACCTGAAGGAATTTTTAACACTGCACGTCACATGCACTGTATCAGTAGTTTGATGGAACAAAAGAAAGAATTAGATGGTTGTTGGAATCCTCCAGTCGTCCTTAATACACTTCTTAATTTTCCCATGACCCACAAACATTACCCTCACAAACAACATTGGACTTAATAGTTGACAATTCCCTTGGAAAATCCATCCTTACTGAAACACTCAGTCGACGCCCTCTCAGTTCTACAAATGGCATAGAACAACAATTTCGACTCACCAATATTCACGAGCTAGCAACTGATTATACCACATTAATATCATTCATGTTCTAAACTGGAGCCATCACATATCAACCAAATCCATCAGCCGCATCATTGCAACATAATTTTCAAATACCAAGTCGTATTGCCGAGAGGGAGTTTATCACAGAGGCGCTTAAGATATATGACGGTAAAAAGGAGGAGTTAATACTTGTACAGAATTGTTTGCAGATTTTGGAGGCAGAATAAAACATTGAACCTCTTTGCCAATTTATAGAGAAAGCTTTACTAAAGCCACTAAAGGACAATAGTGTGGTGCATTCAAACGAAGAGGCATTGAAACAAACTTTTATGAATACTTTAATTCTTACTCTTCACGCGGACATTGAGCCAGATTTCAGGTGTATTCACGGAGCTCGAATTTTGGTGGAAAGGCAATTGATTTAGTGAATACAAGTACCGAAAAATGATATCAATCGAATTTAATAATGTCAAGATGGGGAATGTCAAATTGGACGGAGCTCGAGGTGGTTGCAGGAAGTAACTAATGTTTCACTATCATTGTTGGAAAAATCAGAGGATGAAATTTTGAGCCTTGAAATTAGTGATAAATACATTAAAAATCAAAAGACAGTTAGGGAAGCTTTTGGAATGGAAGATTAAAAAGAAAAGCAATGAGTATTTAGGTCCGTTAGAAAAACAACATGATGCAGAGTTTATCTGTATGTTTATTATTTTGAGAGTAGGTTTGCATCGTCTAATTAGCAGGAAGGTTTATTGTGTTGATGAATAATTTGTAGAAATTAAACACAGAATTACAAAATAAATTTTCGCCCACAATTCGGCCTTATGGTTTTTTAATTTTGTGTGTAGTGCAGGATGTATGATTTGTATATCATCAGAAAAACAAAACTATTAATAATTCGTTTAATAAATACAAGATAACTTGCCATAATTTTTTATTCGAATTTGATAATTCACAATCGATATGCGGTTATACATTTTAAATACATTAACGGGTATATAAAAGCTATTATCGTGCAATTTCTATATACCTTATTGCTTAGCAATAATGTATAATTATCAATCATGCAATCTGAAACTAATTTATTGAGAGTTGAAGGTTTTGGAGCTGAGATAGAAACGGAATCCAATTTATCTGATCCCGAGAGGCTCCTCTTCACCATTTTTCAATGCAATCCCAAATTTAAGGTAAAAAAATCACTTAATATTTCTTTTCCTTGTCTCATAAAGCAGCTAAAAATTATCCTTGTTTAACGTCCATCTCTCTTAGTTGAAGAGTTCATTTCTTTCTTGGTTGACATGACATGAAGATCAAGGTTATTGGAAATAGAGTTAGTAGAGGTAGAGTTATTCATTGTGACGTTTCCTAAGTAAAAGTTTTAAAAAGAGCAATTTTCAGTTGCGTCAGATCAGTCATGTACTCATGGTGTATTCGGGGAAATTCTTTGCTGAGATCAAGTTCGATCAGTGGTGCTTTGCTAAGGTTTAATGTTAGCTATAATCAAGTATAAAGTCCCACTTAACTGATCAAAATATTTATTTTGATAAATAATTGGTTATAAAAGACATTTCGAAAAGAGTGATAATAAATTCAATTATATGTAATATTTAATGAAAACAAATATGGCAGGCAGAAGTTTGTTCTTTTTTAAATTCATAATAACCAGTAAAAAAATAAATTAAAATATATAATTAATATAAATTTTTAGTATTTTTAATATTTTTAAATTTAAAATTGTTTAATTACCTTTCATAAAGGTGATAAAATTTTTTAAAATTTCCACAATTTCAATCAAATAATTCTTTTTTATTGTCAAATTTAGACATAATTTTACTGCTTTTACAAAAATGCCCAACCTTTGACATAAAGTCAGCAATTAAAAAAGAAATAATAGAATATAATTATATCTTTCAGGTAAATATTTAATTAATAAAGGAATTGACCGTGATAAAATTCGTATACATAACGTTATATTACTGGATGTAAATCACATGTTGTGACACGTGACTGATAAATTTTTACTTTGCGTAAAAATATAATGTCCTACGTTACACTCCGGACAATTATAACTCCGTTGCTATAAAAATTGATGTGCCAATTTTTCTCATAATAAATTGTATAAAAATTCCGATTTTTAGACTGCATCGAAAGTTTTAAATCTTAAATATCCAATTAAATAACAACAATAAAAATGTCCATTAAATTTTTTGATAAATTATCTCAAGATTTTTCGGAACTTCTTAATGACAAGAAAGAATACAATGTTATCATTGAAGTTGGTAAAGAAGAAAACAAGAAATCTTTTACGTTATCGTTCTACCTACTTCACTAGAGAGTTAGAAAACACTGTTACAAATGAAAATCATGTCAAAACTATTATCAAACCAAATATTTCTACTCAAATATTCGAAATTATTCTTAAGTAAGTTTAAGAAAATTATTTATTACTTTAAGTAACAATATTGATAAGTGATATTAAACGATATTTTATTATGTCAATTTAATATAGATATATCTATGGCGGAATTGTTAACATTGAAAATATAGAAACTAAAATCATTTATGAATTAATTATTGTTGCTAATGAATTAGAATTTGAAGAACTGTCAGAAAAATTTGAAAGTTACCTCGTCGAATCTAAAGCTTCTTGGTTAAGAACTCATTTCTCCCATATTTATCGCTCAATCTTTGATAGTAATAAGCATAATGAATTCAAAGGTTTGAAACAATTTTATAATGATATTATTACCAAACATCCAAATTTAATTTTTGAATCCGAAGATTTCACTTTGCTACATGAAGCAGCATTGATTTCTATTTTGGAAAAGGATAACCTGCAATTAGAAGAAATTAAAATTTGGGATTATGTCATCAAATGGGGAATTGCACAAAATCCTACATTGCCTAAAGATTTGGAAGAATGGTCTGAAGAAAATTTCAAAACTTTAAAAACAACTCTACAACAATGCTTATCACTTATTCGATATTTTCATATTTCTGATAAGGATATTTGGGAGAAATTAAAACCTTATAGAAATATTATTGGTATGCAGCTTTGGGATGATTTATATCAATATCGTGCATTTCCAAATCAACCAGTTAAATCTCTCGTTTTACCTGCAAGAATTATTTCAAATCCTAAATTACCTCAAAGAATGAATGAACGAATTTCAACAATAATTAATGAAGAACAAGTAGCAGAAATTTCATCATGGATTGATCGAAAGTCGACTATTTATTCTTTAAGAGATGTGCCATACAAACTTCAATTAATTCTTCGAGGAAGTAGAGATGGTTTTCAACAAAAAACATTTTGGAATATGTGTAATGAACATGCTGGCACGGTAGTGATTGTTAAAGTTGCAGGAACTGATGAAATACTTGGAGGTTATAATCCATTAGCTTGGGATAATTTAAAAACCAATGACACTTGGGTGGAAACAAATGATAGCTTTATATTTTCATTGAAAAATGGGAATATTCAGAATTCAATTCTCAGCAGAATTAAAAATAAACATAAAAGTAGGGCTTTTTTATATCAAAGTTCTCAAGGTCAAAAGAATAATGGTCCATGTTTTGGTTATTATGAACTTTCATTGAAATCGTTTGTTAACGATTTTACTAAAGATAAACAATGCTGGTGTAATACTCTTTATTATGAAAAAACCATTAGAACAATTAATGAATATTTTTCTATTATTGATTATGAAGTATTTAAGATCGTTTAAAAATAATAATTTAAATTCCAAATGTACAGTAAACATATCCAGAGTTTTGAAAAATAGGTTATTACAGCAGTCGCAAGTACAACATCAATTCTATCCATCACATACAAATTTCCCTTCCCTGAATATATCATTATTTTTTATTTTAAATTTACAAACAGTTTAATGATAATAAAATCTATTTTAAAATAAATGCTTTGAATAATTTTTTTTTTTTTTTATGACGTGCTGTCTAAAACTCATAATATTAATTAATTAAAATTCTCGCATTACGATCAAGTTTTAAAAATAAGATGATTTGGTAAAATAAAAATCCTAAGTTTCAAGGTATGAAGAACACAAAAAACAGAGATCATTTGCTTAAATAAATAAAAATCAAAATAGCAATAATTGAAATAATTATATTAGTAATCATAATAAAAACAATGTCATAGAAATTATAATCGAATGTTAATATTATACAGAGGTAAAATAATTGTATACGCAATAATAATGATTTTTATTTAAATTATTATTCCAAATTATTATCCTAACAAAGAAGTTAATGATGTTTCTGCTAAATAAATTATCAAATTATTTTTATAATTAACATAAAAAAAATAAATAAATATCTATAAAATTTGATTATGCCACAAAAAAATTCATATATAAATAAAGTTTCTTACCTAAAAACTTAATTCGCCCAGGATGGGATTCATCAGTTTAAGAATAAAAGAAAAGAGATTAATGAAGTTACGGTATTTTGAATGTTTCGATCTCTGACTGCTCTATTCTTAATTGCCCAATAACCAAAATTGCGCTAGAAGAGGAAGAGACATTGTTAACGGTAGTAATGCGTGTTAAATAATCCTTTGATACCTTCTCCAGCTGCACCTATGAGAAAAAAAGAGAAAGAGAAAAAACGGAAAAAGGTAAATATTATATGAAAAAAATCCAGACCTCTCTATAATACTATCGGGATCATCGTAACGTTTTTAAAAAATGTGCTTATAAAGAGAATTTTTATAAGATGTGCTTATGGGGGGGGGGGGGGGGGGACTATCGAAATGAAAAGCACTAGCTAATATTAAAATGAAAGATTTCGTCAAAAGAAAGTTCTTCACAGTAAGTATCTAAATTACAATATAAATTGAATGACTCAAAAGTAATAATTCTATAAAGATTTGTTAATTAAATATTTTATAAAAAATTATCATTAAATTTATATTAATTAATGATTTAAGATACATAAATTAATTATATTAAATTATCAAACGATAAAATAGACTCGTTAAAGTTACAATTTAATAAATATAAATTAACATAAGTTTGCGCAATTAGAAAATATATTTGTTATTTCATTTAATAAATTAATTTATACTTTAATAATTAAGCTAATAACCAAATAAATTTATAAAAAGCATATATTTGTCTTTTTTTTTTGTGAAAAAATAAGCATAATTATATATTTATTTGTTTACACCAAATTTAGTATTGATACTTTCCCAAGCGAGATATTTTAAAAGTAATGTCAATAATATTTTTTTCATATTAAGTAAACTCTCAGATGACTACCGATGACGCATTATGCAAATATTGAGTCAAATTGTTTAATTGAAAAAAAAGAATCACGGGATCCTTTATAGCCACCCCTATGAGCATATCATATAAAAATCTTCATATTTTAAAACCTATTGTTATGAACAACACATCAAAAAACCTCTATAAAAGTTACAATGATTCCGATTGTAGAGAGTCACTGTAATTGAAAAATATTTAATTTCACAAATGTTAATATGATGAAGACTTTTTGATCTCTGTTTTCTAATTTCGAGAGAAATTAACAAATCTTTCTCAAGTTAGCAATTTGAATTGTATAATGTAAAAGGAAAATGTAATCACCGTTTTTGGGATTTTTTGAAACTAATAACTGATTATACCTATTTTGCTAATCAATCCGTGACAGCAAATAGACCTCAATTTGTATTAAATATGTCATTTGATTTATGACTTACAATTTATTATAAATTTTAATACATATAAATAAATAATTAATTTAATATGGTCGGTAAGATTTTTTGTGATTTAAGGGGTTCGAAAATATTATTTTAAGAAAAAAATCTCTCTGATGAAGGGTGAAAAGCATAGTAATATATTTTATTTGTCTATACCAAATTTAGTATTAATGTTTTCCTAAAAAAAATATTTTATAACGAAACAATAACATAATTTTGCATATTAGGCGTAGATTTACGTAAAATCATACGAATCAAATAATTTACGCACGTAAATATACGTAAATTTGCGTAAATCTACGTAATGTTACGTAATATTACGGTCTATAAATTTTTTGACGCTACTCCCTTCATAATTGCACACATAAATGCACAGATGTGGGTAAATTTATGGAGAAGACTGTATATAGAATGTTCAATAAGGAACAATATATAAATAATAAATCACAATAACTTTAAGTATTTAAGGATAAGATAATAGGCTACACAAATCCCTTGATATAAAAATTTTTGACGATTCCCAATTCAGAATTTATAATTTAATAATTAGATTATCGGATCCAAAATAGAGTATATTTTTTATAAATTAGTATAGAACGATTACGAATTTTAGTACATTACGATGTAGTACGATTGGAATTATATTAGTAAGTTGCAATTACATTATTAAAGACGCGTTTATAATAAGTTTAGGATTAAGTATTAGAGTTAGGGTCAAAGATTGGTCAAGGTTAGGGTTAGTGTTAGGTTAGTTATGTTAGAAATGCCTATTACTATACTTTAGTTTTTTTTTCTTATAGTTCCCGCATCGTACGATGATAATCATACTAAATGATTTTCTACACATACTTACACGATCGTACTATATTACCTAATCGTATTAAGTGATTTTCTATACATACTTTCACATCGTACTCGCACTATATTACCAAAAATTGATGGCGCATTAATTATCATAATCAACAAAAACACAAACAAAAATGGCAAATGGTTCCCATTTCTAGTTATTCTCCAGGAAGGAAAAAAAAAGAATTCATATTTCTTTGCTATATCAAATTTAATAAATATTTTCTTAAAGTAATAACGTACTCTAAGGTGACTACCGATGGCGTATTATGTAATTAATGTCGTGTATTACACCATAAAAATTTTTCGACAAAATTAATTGAGAGCACATTCAATAGAATTATAATTATCACATCCCAATACTCCAATTGGATTGTTATTTAGGGATAAACTTGATGTCGGCTGAATTTTTCTCCATAATTTTGAATTAATAAATGTACAACTGAGGTTCAGAATTCCGATTTTTTGCAGTATTAAGCTTAAAATCTTAAGTAAACTTGATAATAATAATAAAATGACTTTTAAATTTTTTGACAATTTATCTCAAGATTTTTCAAAGCTTCTTAATGACAAGAAAGAATATAATGTTGTCATCGAAGTTGATAAAGAAGAAAATTTGAAATCATTTACTTCGCACTCGGTTGTCTTACTTCATCGTTCTACCTACTTCGCTAAAGAGTTGGAAAACATTATTACGAATGAAAATAATGTCAAAACTATTATCAAACCAAATATTTCTGCTCAAATATTCGAAATTATTCTTAAGTAAGTTAAAGGAATTTATTTATTACTTTAATTAACAATATTGTATAAGTATGTATTAAGTATTTCGATACAAGATGAATCAAAATTAATATATTTTATTGTAAATATTTAATATAGATATATCTATGGTGGAGTTGTTACCACTGAAAATTTAGAAACCAAAATCATTTATGAATTAATGATTGTTGCTAATGAATTAGAATTTAAAGAACTATCAGAAAAATTAGAAAGTTACTTTGTCGAATCTAAAGCTTCTTGGTTAAAAATTCATTTCGCCCGTATTTATCATTCAATCTTTGATAGTAATAAGTGTAATGAATTCAAAGGTTTAAAGCAGTTTTACAGTGATATTATTTCCAAACATCCAACTTTAATTTTTGAATCCGAAGACTTCACTTCGCTCCAAGAAACGGCATTGATTTCTATTTTGGAAAGGGATAACCTGCAATTAGAAGAAATTAAAATTTGGGATTATGTCATCAAATGGGGAATTGCACAAAATCCTACATTGCCTACAAATTTGGAAGAATGGTCTGAAGAAAATTTCAAGACTTTAAAAACAACTCTACAACAATGTTTACCACTTATACGATATTTTCATATTTCCGAGAAAGATATTTGGGAAAAATTAAAGCCTTATATAAATATTCTTGGTACGCAACTTTGGGATGATTTAAATAAGCAGAGAATGTTTCCAAATCATCCTGTTAAGTCCCTCGTTTTACCTGCTAGAATTTTTTCAAATCTCGAATTACCTCAAAGAGTAAATGAACGAATTTCAACCATAATCAACGAAGAACATTTAGCGGAAATTTCATCCTGGATCGATCGACAATCAACTATTTATTCTTTAGCAAATGTACCATATAAATTTCAATTAATTCTTCGAGGAAGTATAGATGGTTTTAAACCTAAAACATTTTGGAATATGTGTAATGGACATGCTGGTACAATTGTGATTGTTAAGGTTGCAGGAAATGATGAAATACTTGGAGGTTATAATCCATTAGTTTGGGATAATTCAACTTTTGGTACTTATATTGACACAAATGATAGCTTTATTTTTTCATTGAAAAATGAAAATATTCAAAATTCAATTCTCAGCAGAGTTAAAAATAAAAGGCGTTCACTATTATATTTTAGTTCCAAAAGTCAAAAGACTTGTGGTCCTCGTTTTGGTAATTACGAATTTTCATTGGAATCAAATGTTTCCAATTTTGCTCAAGATAAAGAATGTTGGTGTGTTTATGGTTCAAATTATACACATTATTATGAAAAATCCATTAGAACAACTAATGAAAGATTTTCTATTATGAATTATGAGGTATTTAAGATTTCTCCAAAGGAATAATTTCAAATTTCCACATTACAATAATATATCATTCTTTTTTTCTTATATATTAACATTTCGATAATGATTATAATAAAGTCTTTAAATAATTTGGTTACTCCAAAGTATTTATTATAATAAAAAAATAATAAAATAATAAAGTAGTGATATTTTTTTTTTATTTTATTAAATTTCCAATAGAATTGAACATGTGAATGATAATACGTTATTATAAAAACAATATTTCCTTTTACTAATTTGTTTCCCAATTATTTATGTATATAAAATAAGAATCTCAATTACAAACTAAGATAAATGAATTCATACAAATTTGAAAAGAATTTATACTTCAAAAAAAAATAATATAATATATAATAAAAATATTTGTAAAAAAATAAAACTTTAAATAAATTTAAAAGAAAGTTCTTTCGGAATCACCTAAATAAATAAAAACAAATTAATTAAATTAAAATGTGAAAAATAATATAATTGATACTTATTAGTGCTTAAATCATTAATAGATTTAGCTAATTCTTCAAGTTCATTTTCAAAATTTTCTTCATTTATGGATTTCGGAAGATTAGAAAAATTAAGTCGACTGGTATAAATTTCTTGTGGATGTGTTATGGATGCTGCTTCTTTGTATACAAATAATCATCTTCGCTATAGTATTCATCTCTTGATATAATTCTAGAAAAGTAGGTCATGAGTAATTCAAGTATCCCAACATCGTATAATTGTTCTTGTAAATAGACGTTAGATGGAATTTTTGGTCGCATTACATACAGTATTTTTATGTTAAATCCCTGCCATGTGGAATATCATGATATGGGGAAAGCCCGTAATTAGTGGTGGGATCCGTTTAAGACTTATCCAGATATCTTTTGGTAAACGAATGATCTTTTCCGGATAAACGGATATCCGTTCGACTATAAATTCAAATCGGAAATATTTCATGATTGTTACCACATATAAAACATTTTATTTTAATATGTGAACATCAAAGACAATACTAAGTAATCTTAATAACAAAAATTTTTTGCGTATTATATTAAACCATGTCATCAAAATTAAGAGAACTACTAGCGGTTATATTTCGAACGGGCAAAAACATTTTAAATGACAATTGCTCGCTCGATTTTGATGATATACATCTGTCCTTTAAATATAATACTCAATAAATTCTAAACTTTAGGTTACTTGGTACCATTTTTTGACATTCACTAACAATATAAAAGTCTTATATGTAGCAACGATCAGCAATTTTGTTATAATAATATGTAATAATAATAATTATACATAATTATATACAAAATCATCGATCGTTGCTACATATAAGACTTTCTATATTGTTAGTGAATGTCAAAAATGGTACAAAGTAAACTAAAGTTTAGAATTTATTGCGCATTATATTTAAAGAATAGATGTATATCTTCAAAATTGAGCGAACAATTATCATTAAAAATGTTTTTGCGTGTTCGAAATCTAACCGCTAGTAGCTCTCTCAATTTTGATGATATAGGCCTGTTCTTTTAATAAAATACGCAATACATTTGTGTCTATAAGATTATTTAGTACCATTTTTGATATTTACATATTAAATAAAATGTTTTATATGTGGTAACAATCATTAATTATTTCTGATTTTCAATTTGTTACGCGAAATATTTATTTTATCCATGGATATATATATGGATAAGTACGGATAACCACGGGTAATCGCGGATAATTGCGGATAAATACGGGTATCCTAAGGCTCACGGATATCTGTTCACCGGATAAATGGATATCCGGATTCCATCACTAATCGTAATGATTTCGTGAGCTATTATTCCAAAAGAGTAAACGTCAACAGATTTTGTATATTCCTCTCCACATAATATCTCTAGAGTTACATATGGTAATACACCAAAATATTCTTTTTTTTTCGAGATTATTTGAATATTGCTTAATTCAAAATCAGAAATATAGATATCCCCACTTACAACTCATTTGATAAAATATTAACATGATGTAAAGTATGCCTAATTAATGAATACTTCGGAATTTATCTG